CCAATGATGTGCGACTTTCGCATATCGCCCACCCGGAACATCAGCGAAAGGTTACCATCCCGCTGGCAAATAACCGCGTGCTTCGAGAACAACAAGGTCTGAGCCCGCTGCTTGGCCCTCGTCATCTTGGCAAAGACAATGCCGGCCATGAAAGCGGAGGACATCACGCCGTAAATGGACTGGAAGCACATCATAAAGATGGCCTCTGGACACTCGGGCGAAGTGGTACGAACTCCATAGCCAATCGTGTGCTGCGTCTCAATGGAGAAGAGGAAACAGGAGGTGAATCCGTCAATTGCGGACACACAAGGCGCCCAGCCAGAATCCTCTGAAAGGTAAGGAAAAATATCGGATATAATATAAATCATCTTAAATTCCGATAGCTAACAAACCTTGCATGTGAATGTCCTCCAAATCGCCGTGTGTGTAGACAATTAGCCACCAGATGAGCGCAAAGAAGAGCCACGAGAGGATGAAGCTGAGGGCGAAGGCCAACAGAGTCCAGCGCCACTGCCAATCCACCATGGTGGTGTACATGTCCTGCAGGAAGCGCACACGGCGCCTTTGCAGGTGCTTCTGCACCACATTGCAGTCGCCGTTTTTAAACACCGCCCGCCTGCGAACTCGCCGCATGCTGCCAGGCCGGAAATTGCGAGATCTGCGAACAGAAATTACAATTATTTATCCAAAATGCCCAAAAGTGTGCAATAAAAAATTTGTAACTTCAGAAGGCTAAGTACTAAAAATTATAAATCCGGTAATTAGATTAATCATTACAAACAATATCCATAAAATTTCAGTAACCTGAAAAAGTGGACCCCCTGTAAAAAGTGGAATCCTGAGTTCAATCTTAGAAAAATTTAATATGTATGTATTGTATATCTTAAAACTAAAATTGCTTATAAGGACTTTGAGGCTTCTTTTCAACTTCACATCTTCATTTCCTTTTGTTGTTTTTTTTGACATGCGGAGGACATACCCATTCTATATAATAAGCATCTATTTACAGATAAATAATGAATATATGTTTATATAGCCTTTTACTGAGTGCAGTTTTTTTATGCACCTTCCAAAAATCCCGCACATATTTTATTACTTTCATCCTTATTAGTTTTAACAATTGTATACCCTCTTTTCCTTTGCAAATGGCAATGAATATGATTTCTATGATTTATTTAAGTGTCAGATGAAATTGGATGTCGCGACATCGTGTTGTTTAATTTGTGTAAATTAAGTGTGCGCATTTGCACTCGTTTGTTTTTGGACGGGGCACACGAGAAGTGCATCTAATTAACATCGCCAGTCGCGAATGCCAATGTCGCAAGGCGGACAAATGGGACAGATCGGACTCCAGATTCAGAGCAATCTGATCCATCCCTGCTTATGGCACTTAATTGCAGCTCACCCACAAATTGTTTGATTTATTACCTCAACTTGTCAAAGTAGGCGATTTAATGGGACTGGATGCACCGACCGATATCAACACCCACATTTCCCGGCATTTCTCGGATGCCAATTACCTTAACCCCACATTGACACTTGCTCAAGTCGATTAATTGGCATTGTGCCGATTGCATTAATACCCGCTAATCAAATTTAGAGCTCAGCTGGCTAAATTTATACCAAATGATTCATTTTCTAGCTTTGAAGTGTGTCGGCACACATTTTATTCATAAATGAGCAGCCCACGCAATAGTAAAAAATGGAATAAAATCTGTATATTCGCTATGAAACGGTGAAGAAAGTGCCTGGGAAAAGGGAAGCAATCTCCGGTGGGAAACCTTTTGGCCAACCGTTTAGCAGGTGACAAGTGTGAGAACGAGATGCCGTCAAGATTTGATGGGGCAAAAAGACTGAATGCCTGGCCTAATGAATCGCATTCGTAACGCGCCCCTAAATCACAGGCACTGCAATCTGCAGCTACAATATAAACCAGTACCGTGGGCGTAGCCATATAAATTACAACCGCAAACGGCGGGCGGCATTCTGCTAATCAGCTAGACAAAAAGCCCAGAAGATGCGACAACGTGACACAGACGCACTGCGATGATGGAGCGGCTGTCGGCAAGTTCAAGTTGAATGTCAGGCCCCTTGACGAGCTAATTACTGGGCGGAAAGCCAGCGGAACTTTGAGTAATTGGGTAATTGTTGCCCGAAGCTCCTATTTTTGATGTTTCGCAAGTTTCCTCCGATCTACAGTTTAAATCAAAAGGGTATGGGGTCTAGATTACGGATATCCGGGTCTTATATACGAAGTCTAAGAGTTAACTGAAATGGATATGCAATATTTACCAAGAATATAACTAATCCATTTTTAAGAAGTTCTTCAGTGAGTTTACTTTACGTTTAAATAAATTTATTTGAGTCACATCTTCCTTTTAAATTAAATTTGTAAAAATAATTTGTAAAAGGGGCTAGTAAAAACCAATTATAAAAAAAACTATTTTAAGGTTTTAATTGTGGTTAATGGAATGGAATGGGCCCAAAGCAAGCCACACTCAATATTCATTTTTAAGGACTTAAATGTCGAGTTTGACGTCTTAAGACAGCAGAAGTGCACCAGAATAAATACTTAAAGGACCTCATAGTAAATTGTTATTTGCGCTCAACATTTCTATATAATGTCTCCGTTCACTAAGTGTCTTTAACAAATTTAATTTACACGGAAGCTAACCTTTGAGATAAATAAAAGTTACTTGTTAGCATCCTCAGTAACAAGTTCAAAACCAAATGAATTGAACAGCATAATCTTAACAGTCTAATATGAGCTATAAGTTCCAAGATGAGATCTGAGCAAATGTGACACAAATGGGGGATCTCCTATATATATTTTTTTGTTTTATATTTTTCTAATGCGCACCCTTTGGCCAGCGAGTGGCTGGATCCTTTCAAGGCTTCGTAGTAGACTCCCGCCTGCGAGGGCGTGTGCGAAATGCCCCGCATGTACTGGCGCTTCCACTCCTTCATGTGGGCGAAGGTCTCCTCCTTGTCGCCGCCGACGAGGGTTTCGGCATCGGTGGGATCCTGCAGGACCTGGACATCGCTGAGCGGCACCTGCATCTCTCTAGACGTTCCAACTTCGCGATATTGAATGAAACTGAAGCTCCTCAACAAGCGATTCCGCCCAGGCCAACGTTAAAGTGGTCTGAATTTGCCCAAACAATTAGAGCCGCTCTAACTAATCGTTACTTATTGACCAAATCACTTAAGCCGGGTAAATAGCCCAGAGAATAGCTAGCACTCACCTGCAGCTTGGTTGGCGCGGAAAAGGTTTTCCATTTTGGGTTAGGCCATAGTAGCTGGTCGGCCGATTGGGCACTATGGTGATGGGATAGGATTGCGGATTGCTGATCACACTGTCCAGCGAGTCGGGATCCGCTTCGACGGACTTCTTCAGCGGTTGGGCTGCCTTATCTCCTCCATTTGCCTGCGTTGTTGTTGTTGCCGTTGAGGTGGGCGCCGCCGAGTGGGTGGAGAAATTGAATCGCATCTGTGGGAGGTGGGGCGAAGGATTTGCCATTTCAATTATTTTATTTGGCATAGGTAACTCAAGCGTCTATTGAGCAAACAGAAACTTGTGATAAGTGCAACCCAGGTGCGAGAAATCTATTTTTTTGCCATCAGCGTCAGCTGATTCTCACAGATTTTTGCGGTTCGCTGGCATAGTAAACTATCTTATCAGCTCGTTAGTCAGTTTATTTTATTTATGATTTAAGTAGTAAACATTTGCCACATTATTTAACCACATAAATAGCAGAAATATGCCACATTATTTAAAGATTTGTATAGGCATATGAATAAATTACAGAACGTAAGTATATGAAATTCCAAACACTTCCGCAACCTGTTTGATTTTTCACACCTTTCAGAACTTTTCACAAGATCTGAAGCAAATACTTTATACTATATTAAATATGATTGGAAAATCAGCGCACGCACCGTGAATTTTTTTTATTCGATTTCGAGCGTTTGGCACGTTTTGGCTTAAGTAATTTTATCACTTTCGAAATGTTCAATTAATTGACACCTTTAAACTGATTATTTGTTAGATGGCCATTGTTTTGCTTAAGAGCCTCAACATATTTCGGGAACCTTAAAAAGGCATTTAGGAGCGCGATTTTATAATAAATATGAACTTATAAATTAACGAGCTCTGCAAATTATTTCGCTCTGTTTTGTCGTCGCGTGTCGGACCAGGAATGAGATGATTTGAGGCCGGGAGATCACAGCCGCAGCCACAAAAGCGACTGTCACAGCGAGATCTGCGGATCCGCAAGTCCGACCAATGGATTAAATGACGGCCGACTGAAAGAACATTTTTCCAACTAAACAAAAGTTGTGAACAGAAAGCGGTGCGCTGTAAATGAGCACACACACACGTGCGGCAAGAGAGAAAATTACTTGCACAACGCACACGACATTTCTCACACTGCAGATCGGCGATGCTCTCACAGATACTGTTACTGAAAGATACAACTTGTGGCTTTGCCGCGGAATAAGTTCAATTGGAATGATTCGTAAATTGAAAGCGAAGCGGAAGATAAGTGCGATAAGCTCATCTTATCTACGAAATCAAAAGGCAGAGACACTTCTCAATGCAGTCGACCTTGAGGAAGGGGTGGCGTATGCTTGATATTTTGTATTCCCCTCATGAAGTGTCGCAATATCGATCGGTTAGGCCGGAAAGTTCTGATTTATCAGAGGTTGTACATCCAGAGGTCTCTCTATTTGAATAGACAGCGCAAACAATGGCCCTCGTTTGTATCTTGGCTCGAATTCGAGTACAAGGTGTCGTATACGTAATATCTGAGTGTTTACCCCCGACTCACGCGCATTTTGGCTGCATTGTGCAAATACAAATAATAAATAAATTGTGACGTTAATAGCTCAGATATATTCAAACAAGTATCGCTGTGCAGTCATCGACATCGTCATGCGTAGTTTATTTTCACGGCATCAAGCCAATTAAAACCGTTCACCGCAAACATAAATCATACCCCTTTGTGAAACCTAAACTAATTTATTGATCCCCTAAGCAATTCTTAACATACTACAAATTTAAGCCCGCTTTAACTCAGAAATGGATGCTGGGCAGTCTCTGCAATCGTGAGCCTCTTGTTGGGGTTCCTCGTCAGTAGTCCATCGATTAAGTGCCTGGCTTCTGAACTGAGGATATCTTCCATACCCATTGGATAACTAGGTTCTCCACTCATGATAGTCGCATACACCTCCACCACAGTTTGATCGGTACTGCTGAACGGCAGTTTTCCGTAAAGAATATAGAAGAGCGTAACGCCCAGTGACCACGAATCCACCGGGTAGTCATACCCCGATTCAGCGATCAACTCCGGTGCCATATAGCACGGTGTGCCACAGCAGCAGTACAACTTGCTGCCACGATAGTAGGCAGTCATCCCAAAGTCGGTTATTTTGACCATTGCGATGTGACCCGATCCGGGTGAAAAGCGCAGCAGCAGATTCTCGGGCTTAATGTCGCGATGGATAAGTTGCAGCTGGTGCATGTGGGCCAGTCCTGCGACTGTGCCCCTCACAACCGACCTGGCATTCGCCTCCGACATGGGTCCGTAGTCCAGAATCACCTCCTCGAGATCGCAGTCGAGGCATTCCAGTACCATGTAAAGATAGCGTGGCTCCTCAACCGAGTACATCAGCTCGATTATGTTCGGATGTGACTGCAGGCGTCGCAGCACCTCCGGTTCTATATAGGGATCTCCGCAGTTGTAGTCCATGAACTGCTTGTTCACCACCTTCACGATGCACTGCGTCCAGCTGAACCGCGTCTGTCCACGATATATTAGCGTTCTTGCCGTCTGCACCATGGGCTCCAGATTGTTGATGTACAAATGGATAGCATCGGGCAAATCGTTGGGCATTATGTTTTCAAGGGTTTCGCCATCGAGCCGACGATCTTGCCAGCGGTTACGCGAATCCAGAAGACGCAAGAAGACCTTGTTGATGCTATACCTGACCCAAATTAGCTCTTCGTACTTGCAGCAGCAAATCACTACGTCGCCTTCACTGAAGCAACCCAGCGAGGTGAAAGGGTATCCGTCAATCCCAACTATATTCACAATGGCCGATCGCAGGACCACATGTCGCCTTAATGCCTCGGTGACCGCTTGTAGCAAAGAATAGAAGTCCTTGAAGTGCTCATGTGACACGGCCATGTTGACACCCTTGAAGTGTTGGTCTCCGTTTCGCAGGAAGCACACCCGCAACGCCTTAAGGGGGCGGGGCTGCAGCCGCTTGGGACGGAGCAACTTGTCTTTGTCAAACATAGTGCGCCAAAAGAAATCGAGAGACAATTAAAAACCTAAAAAACTATCAAGGTAATTTAACAAAACTTAGAAAAAAAATATAAAAATGTTGTGGGTTTTTTGTTTTTGGAAAAGTCTGAAGTTACGCTGTGTTACCTAGCTGAACTTCCCTAGCTTTTTGAAGGCGATCGCTCGGCTGACTGGGTTTCCATGCGGCAGAAACAGGGCATCTTTTCAATGCTCTTCCGTCATTCCCTGCCCCAGAATAATTTACGATCCACTAAATTGTGAATGGCAGCGGTCGACGCGGATGAAGAGCGCCTAAGCCGCTGGTATAATTGAATAATCAGCTTTGTCGCCCAGTGTGACTGCGACCCCCGATACTCGGATGAACTCGTATCTGCCCCCTGAATAATCCGTTGGTGGCCACTTAACTCGCGTCAAGTGCAAATTTGTAGTCCATCATAGTGGCACTTTGGGATCCTGGGGTGCAAATTAGTTTTTAAATTCACGCAAGAGCTATTTCTGTAATCGCCAACAAATCGATTCGGTTTACTCTCCCAATTAACTTCGTGCTGAGAGATTTATATATTTATTGCTAAAATGATGCGAAACATTATGTGTGACGGCAGGGCACCAGATTTTATCTGGTTCACGTTTGCAGTATCCACAACGGTCTGCTTCACACCACAAAAATTAAAATATTTTATTAATTGTTTAAACAATTTAATTTTTCATACGGTCTACAGTCTGGGTTGAGTCTATGCTAACGTTATTATTTACTGACATTTTGGAGTCTGGTTATCAATGACCAAAACCATGGGTAGAAATCGTGTGTAAGATACTTGTATGTATAATTTGAAGTATATGCATATATGTATATATGGATCAAAAAGGCAGCCACACTTGGTTTCCGTCATTTATTTCAAATACACAATTTAAGTCACTCGTTGTGCGCTATTTATTTCAAACACATTTGAAGTCAGGTCATAGTATCATTATTATGAATCTGAATACTTTTATGATATGGTAATTAAATTTATTCATTCTTTTTTCTTATGACGAGTCTTAAAAAGTTCGATTTGAATTTATTTGTATTTATTTTTTCTTTAATGTTTTCCCTCACTTTAATTTTTGTGTCCCTCATCGCTCTTACCAAAAAATAGGTAATTAGTTTTCCCCCCAAAACCAGTACAAGAAAACCATATTAATAATAAAATATTTTTAATTTACAAAAACATCATGTGTTAGATGTTGGCATTATGTATAAGACAGACTCTGACTATTTACACCTGGTTATTGTGGATACACGTGTAGTAAGGAAAGACATCTTGACTTTGGGTTATGAGAGTGAGCAGGTGTTTGTGAGGGTGTTGGTGTGGATAAATGCTGGAACACTTACTAACTAGTTGCTAATAATATAGCTAAACATATAGCTAACAATGCCTACAAACTACGAAAATTGTACAATGAAATTTGCATTTAAATATTCTGGGTTTCGCGCGATCTTTCACAAAATGGCAATACGAAATTTGTATGTGTGAGGGTGAGTGTGTGGTGTGTGTAATGTGAACGTAAGTCGATATCCTTTTTCACATGGCAGCACCATTATAATGCTGATACATCTCGTCCCAGAACCTCTGACGTTCCGGCTCGGGATTCGTCTTCATGGCCATATTGGCTGAGATGTCCAAGTATTTGAGACTGTTCATCACATTGGTGGGATCGATTGGCGCCCACTTGGTGGTCAGGGCGGAATCCTCGGTATCCGGCGTGGGGGAGCTGTTATTAATTATACCTTTAGTTAGGGAAATAATTACTATTGTCTGGTCACTCACCCGTATTTGGCGAAATTCGTCCACATGCGCACCATACGGTTTTTGACCTGCACCTCCATTGACTTGGGGTCTAGACTCAAGTTGAAGAATCCGAACTTGAACAGGTAGCCCAGCTCATCGCCGTGGCAAACTCCGGGTCGTGGAATGCCCAACATGCGTTTGTAGAGACCCAAAGCGCCATCAAAAGAGAATCGATACATGTAAACAGGGGCATTTCCATATTTCGCATGATTACGGGCAGTACGACGGATGCCCTGCAGAAACATGAGATCCGTGAGGAGCTGTCAAGAAGATAAGATCAATAAATATTTATAATTTTGGATATCACAAGTCACACTCACCGCTATCATCTCGTCAACGGATTCAATTCCTACATGCTTGCTGCCCAAATAGAACGATCTTATCTCACGGGTCACTCTGTCATGGTATTGGGTGACATTCAAATCCTGTGGCACCAGGCGGCCAAAGTCATTCTCTATGATGCTCAGCAATTGGGGATTCTTGCGGAGTCCTTATTAAATGATTTTATGTTAATTAAGGCTTACTTGGGACTTTCTAAGGTCTTAACTTACTTCTTATAAACAACATAGCTTCGTGTGTATTGTAACCCGTCATGTAGGCCACGTCGCTGTTGAAGTTCTGCGTGTGATACATATCGCTGGGATGTTGGGTAAGGAAGGGCTGCTCGAGGAACTGCTCCTCCTGCGAGTCCTGATTCCAGTATCCCTCCACCACGGGGACGAAAGGCAAACCAATATTATTGCGCTGATCTTCGGCAGTGATTGTAGTTGGTGCTGCCTCCACCAGTTTCATGGCCGGAACCCGGCGCAGGAAGTCCAGGATGTCCTCGGTGTTGTTGGCTCCAACATAACCCAGATTGGCTGCCAATCGTGCAGCTCTTTGACTTGAACTGATTGCCATGGACCAGGGATTCAAGGCGGATCCACTTTGGGAAATCGCTCGGTGGAAAAGTCCCTTGGCTTGGGGTGAAAGTAGAAGCAGCTGAACGGACGAACCTCCGGCTGACTCTCCGAAAACGGTCACCTGGCTCGGATCTCCTCCAAAAGCAGCTATGTTATCACGCACCCACTTGAGCGCCAGAACCTGATCCTTGAGACCCTGGTTGCCAGGAGCATCGGGTCCGGCTGTAAGGAAGCCCAATGGACCTAGTCGGTAGTTCAGGGTGACCAGGACTATATCTTCGGCCACCAGGTAGTCGGGTCCGTAGAGGAAGGAGTTCCCGGAACCAAAGGAAAAGCCTCCGCCATGCAACCATACCATCACAGGGAGCTTCGGCTGCTCCCCGGACTCCTCATCCTTGGGCATTCTTGTGGTGAAAACGTTGATGAACAGGCAATCCTCGTCTCCCTTGAAGGTGTCCAAGATCATGTTTTTGTGGGGACAGCTCTGACCCTCCCGTGAGGCATCACGGATTCCCGACCATGGCTTCTCCGGCTCCGCAGCACGGAATCTGAAATTCAAGAAGTTATTAGACTCCAATTTGTATATCCTATCTAATAAGCTTTTACCTTCTTGATCCTGTTGGTGCTGCTCCATATCGCATGCCCTTGAAACTGTAATAACCTCCTCGCTCTCCAGATCGATATTTTTGATAGCGACCCCTAACTTTGCCCAACGATGTGGTGGCCACAATCTCACGCTCTTTCTGCGAATGAATATGGCAAACAATGTTAATCTATATATAGTTATTATGGTAGAGTCTATTGTAACAGTCGATTTGTGTAGAAGAAATCCACTTCAAGGCCCACTAATTTGGCCGCCACTCTTGCGAATGCAAAAAATCTAAGTTGCGCAACCAATTTGCATCGGAGTGCGAACTCGAATAGAACCAGCGCATAGAAGTATGCCATGAGCCTGGCCAGAGTTGCGCAATCGCCTCGGTCAATGGCCAAAAATCCAGTTCCCGCCTTCAGTCACCTGCCAGTTGGTTCTTGACTTAGTGGCCAAGTTGGGGGGTGTGTGTGCAAATGTCAGCTCTTTCTTTGCTATTGAGTCGACCTCAGCCCCAAAACAGCACCTGCATCAATGTTTGACCAGCTGTCCATGTTCAAGTTGAGATTTGATTGGCCACTATTTGGCCATTTCGGCTACCAAAAGAGGCTGTAAACAATTGGCATTTGCCGAGACCACAGTTCAAGGCCGATGGAAACTCACCCGCAGAGATCGCACCACCTCCTGGACCACTCGCATGGCCCTCGACGGCAGCAGTTGCACAAGCGAGTTCGGATGCGATGTCAGGGTCTTCCAGGCCGTCGTCTCCTGCAATTGCAAATTCCAAAGAGTTTTAGTATGCACAGGGAAAAAATGTGGGGCTTTATGAATGATATATGTGAAAACAAAAAGAGATCTTAAAGATATGTTTCTGGACTTACAAAAAAGAAATAATAAAATTTTTACGATCTTAAAAATATTGGTATGCTGGTATTGGCTTGTTTGGAAAACAAACGCAACTAGTGCCCTTAAATTCTATTACTAGGATAATATTTTCAATAAATAAATCTTTAAGTAAATAAAACTTCCCATTCTTGAAAACTTGGTCTTATGAAAAACATATTTAATTTATTTTTTAATGAAAATATTTTATATGTAATTTTAATCAGTGGACATTAAGCGACAATGATATTTTTTGTCGTGCAGTTAACAGCAATTTACAAAACATGCAGCGGCGCCTTGTGCAAAGGCCCAGACTCAGGCCGAGTCCAAGTTCATCGGGCTCGATGACAATTTTTGGGGCTGTCCGATTTGCAAAGCGGCGTTAACTGCCAACGGGCAACCTTCACCGACTGCGACGCTTAATTGAAATGCCATTTGCATAACACAAATACTCGCTTGGCGGCAATTAGGCAGCGGAATTAGCAACGGCAACATCGAGAGTCACGTGCTGCCAGAGGAAACGCCAATCCCGATCTGTCTGTCTGTCCAACTGGCTGTTCCCAGGCCGAAATGGGCCTGTTTCTGGCTGTGAATCATGACACAATTAGACGCCATTTGGTGGCTGTGGAGCACCGAGATTCAAGTTCACCTCTAACAGTGTTGTTATGCTAATTACGTGTGCCGTATACTCTAACTTGGTGGCTATGGGCCGGACTGTAAGACCAGCCACGAAAACGAGTTCAATTGCGTGAACGGTATTCGGACTTCGTTTTGTTTATTTTGGCATTTCTTTGTGTGTGTGGTCTGTGGCCTATGCAAATGTGGGTGTAGCTGGCTTATAACAGTTTCCTATCTAGCCCCGATCGATGTTGGCTTTAATTATAACTGTTTAATGCGCTTGTCGGCTGCGTGTGTTCGATAACAAAATAAACTGCGGCTTAAAAGGCGCTTAAGAAGTGGGTCATTGTTCAACGCATAAAGCGCGAGAGTGCTGGGAAAATAATTAAAGTCTGCCAATTAATCGTGATCTTCGATTTGGTGTTAGCCATCGAGCTGCTCTAATATGTAAATGAGTGAGAGCTGGCTCACACAAGGCAAAAACATCTGTGGTTGCATTGCGAATCTCGCATAATATTTTCGCCGCTTACAATGCAAACATTATGCAATGGGCGCTTTCACGCCACGCTCGACAGCCAAAAATAAAAGCGAAATAAAATGCAGGTAGAAAGGCAGCGATGCAATTGTTGCATAAGAACCATATTCGATACGAACCGTGGTAGAACGGACCATTTGGGGGATTTGGCGCATGTCCAGTGACCCGGAAGAGTTTTCGCTTTTTGTTGCATTTTCCGGCGATATTGTTGTCGTTGTCGTTGTCGTCGTGGTCGATGTTGTGGTGCCGATTAAAAACAACGCTTTGGCCCGCAAATCTTGCAAATCACCGCCACCCTCCTCTGCGGGGGACTTTCTCCGCTCTGTGACTATGATTCGATGGCCGGATTCGTTCGGTCGCTGCACACAAATTGCCAAGACAATTAGACCGGTGGCCAGCAAAAGAGCCGCGATCGCCGCTCCACGGGCCAAATTCCGGGGACAGGGCATGACGAAAGCGAAGACCGTGGAGTGGGACAGGGAACTCCGCTTTTGTTTTATGCAACCGTTTGACAGCCGCACAAATTCGTTGCAGTTGTTCCGACAAATGCAATGGAACGCGGAGCCGTAAACTTTGATTTATTGAACTCGCACACTGGGGGAGTGACACTGGCAAACGAACAGTCTCTGCAAAAAGTCTGAATACTCGGGATCAACGCTTCGCGCTTCCGACAGCAACTGTTGCACTTTCGACTGTCTGAAGCCTTTTGAATTAAATTCCACTTGCTCCTCGATTTTCCTCGATTTCTCGCTATGGCATGGCAGTCATTAAAGTACCGTGGGATATGGAAAAAGTCGGGTATTTGAGGCTTTAGAAAACTAGTTGATTTTAATTTTCCGGTTTTTGAGTGGATTTCATTTTCTAGCACATTCAGTTAAACTTGCAAACATTCATAAATAAATATATTTTAAAATCAAAACTTTTTCCTAAAATACTTTTTCAAAACAAACAATTTGAACGAAATTTCTTAATGGAATCCATATAGCTTTTACTGGGTATTCCCAATTCGAATTTTCCCAACAAGTTAGTTTTGCCATCTTGTTAGAGCTGCACTTGTTAATGTCTGTCCGTCGGCTGTTTGGTGTTTAAAATACATTTTTTGGTTTGTTTTGTTTCTTTTTTTTAGTGCTTGTAATCATTGTTTTTTATTGTCGGATTATGTAAGGCACGCAATGGTATAGTGTAGACATTAGGCCATTGTTCGCTTGTGCATTCTGTAGTATTTGTACCGGCTTGTCGGCGATGTTGGCCTTTTATCAGTCAATGTTATCCGACCGGCAAACGGAAATGTTTCTAAAGTTTAATTGCCATATTTATTCAGCTATGGCATAAATTTGTTGATGGTGGGTGATGAAAATAATTAAATTTGCGGTGTTATAAGTGTGGGATCAAGACCCTCACGATTTCTATATAAAGGGCATCGTGATGCACCAGAGTTGAGTGAGCAATTCGCTTGCCAAGTAGCTGCATTTGGCTTATGAATTGAATGCATTGCCGGAGAGATTCGTATTCAGTTGGGCTTCTCAGAAGGCCAGCCATTATTTGTATTGTACCCCTGAGCACATGTTTTGGGCCACTGGCTGCCTAATTAGCAGTTGCCAACAAACTATTCGTTGTCAGTTTTCACGCGCTTCACTTCCCCCATAAAACAATAGAACCGCGAGGCATTGCAATTGACCAGTCTTATTTGCTATTTGGTGTGCCATAAAGTCCATTAACAGGCACATGTAAATGCAGTGACCGGCAGCCAGACAACTTGGCCAAAACGCCGAAACACCAAAACAGTTGGCCATAAGCAGAGACAATGGCTTTGCGTTGAGTGACGGCTACTTGTAGCGACTTCTGTGGTGCTCAGGTGTTGAATTACTTTTGGGGCGGCAACAAATTTGCGACACGATGTCAAAGTCACACAATTGACCGAGTCAGCCGAAATGGCCAAAACTGGGCACGCTTTGTAATACTTCTTTTGTTTGTGCTTAATTTATACGATCTGTTCTAAGATCTGGCAAATACTCGCTAATATATTCCGGTGGGATGACGGGTTCTTGAACTCACCTTTAGCTGGTTGGAGATCTTCCCAGCACGTGCTATGGCCGTGCCGAAAGTGGACGGGGCTATGGCAATCGAGGAGCTGACATCGCAGAACAGTATTACGCCCAATCCCAGCAGCAGGAGGCTCAGAAGTGGTCCCAGTCCGGCGTTTGTCATCGTGTGTTTGCTTTTCGACTGGCTAAACAAATCGGAATAATGCATTAGTCGATGGCCCGTGTTATGGCCAGATGTGTTTGCCAAACGTCGTTGTTGTCCAAGCCGAAAACGAAAACGAACCGAAATATCGAATCGAAGTGCGCAACGCTTCTGAGCCAACTTCTTGGTCAGGGCCAAGACAAAGACGCGAATGTCAACAGATGGAGAGGCAATTTTAGACGCTCTTGTGCTTGACTCCACTCCACACAACTTGGCTCAGAGCCGCTAACTTGGCTCAGTTTTTACACCGCCAGTCGACGGTGGTCTCAATTTAAATTGCTTGCCATTATTTTCGAATTTGTTCACTGTGCTTGTCTTGAACTAATACAGACATTATTCAATTTTGTTTTGCTGCTGTTGTTTTTATTGCGCTGTTTTTTTTTGTCCCCCCAATGAGAGGTCACTAAATATTTTGCATGCTCACAGGGCGTATGATTAATTAGGAATTCATATGGCTTTAAGTTTATTCCAAATTTTGGCGTGTCTGAATATGAATTTGTTTTATTTTTTTACATTAAATGCGAGACTCAATGACAATGGACTAGTTGAATGACAAGACCGGAAACCAGGGCGAGAAGGTCCCAAAGAAGCTAACGAACTTTTTTTGTGCTTGCCATAAATCTGTTAATTAACCAAAATGGAAAAGTTTTGTCTATCTAGTAAGGGTGTTAATTATAGTTCCGCTTCCTTAACGGCAACGCTTAACTGGGCTATAAACACATATTGCCAATGAACACGCCCCCAGTAAACCAGCAACCCAGAGCCACTTCCTCCTTTTTCAAAAGCCTCGACATTGCTGTTGGCCTCTTTTTCTCGGAGCTCTCTGAGCCATTTGTAGTTGCGACAATGCCACGGCAACACTTGCACTTTCCTTGAAAGTTGTTCAACCAGCTGCAGATGCAGAGAAACCGAAAGAGAGAAAATCGCCGATCAGCTGTGGGCTTTTCTCTTGGCCATAAATCAATGTGTTTAAATATGCATTTATGATTACAAGAAAGTATGCAAATTTGACTTGGATTGTGTGCAATGCTGAATACAAATTGGTAACGATTGAGCTGAAACCGACTATTCCAATAGCAGAATGTGGCTATTTTGTAATGACCAGGCCAATTGAAGAGTTGGTAACTGAAACTAAAGAGAGAGCTTAAAAGAGAGGGCCACAAATTGGCAGTTATTGGCCATTTAAACGGGTCGGGAAAACCGAGAGTGGAGTGGGGAAAAGCAGCTGACCACCAGGAGAGCTGGAAATGCAACTGGGATTGGGATTCAGGCCGAGATCGAGCTGGAAGACTTGGCCTGGAGCCGGCCAGACGGGCTTGCGACGCCTTACGTAAGCGGCGAGCAAAACAAAAAAGGTAAATATTGAGTGAGAAAATAACAGAAAAAAAATTAAGCCAAATAGCTGAGAGAAATGAAGAGATAAGCCCCAAAAGAGAGGTGTGAGAAAGCGAGAGTTGGCCGAAGATGATGGCCCAGTGGCTTTTGGCGTGCGCCGTTTAACTGTGAATTTCGCTTGACCCATTATATAAGTAGCCGGGCCTGCAAAAACGGAACTAATTCAAAACTATTTTCAAATTTGTCAGAGACATTCGAAAGGCATCTGCTCGGGGAACTGCTTATGCTCACTCGCCAAGTTTCATTAACAAAAGCTGGCTGTGCAAATATTTCACCAGCAAACAGACAAATATTTGACACACATATTTTTCTTGAACCCTGCTCAATGACTCAACAAGATGGCAACTGCACTGCGCAATTTTCAACAGATTTGTAGGGTAAATATGTCAACTTTGTAGACATCAATCACCATCAAATCGTTTTCTTTGATTAATTCTGGGAATTACTTTAAACACTTTGAGCACTGAAACACTTTTCGCTGCACTGTCTAATTGGCTTCGTGTGTTGGGCAAGTTCAAGTTTGTGGCCCGAGTCTTTGGTCTGCCACTTCGATTCAATTCAATTCGATTCGATTTCTTATGAATTCGGACTCCTCGCGTACCGGAATACTCGTGCTCCACGTTCGACTGTCGCCGACAAACTGAGGCTGCGACTGTGCAGCGGTGCGCTTAAGCGTCAAATTGCTCCGGCTTATACCTTAACCCAATGCGGCATGCAAAACATGGCCACCAGTCTGCTTGATCTTTAAAAATGGTTTTACGACATGATTTGAATTAGAAGCTGTCATAACTTTTACCTTAAAATTCTTATTATAAAAAGATCTTCTTTCGCATTTTAACTTGTCATTAAACGCTTATATTTTAATGTAATCTCCAAGGTTATATATTAATTATATTTTAACGATATATGCATATATTTCATTTTTTTTATAAGAGTCTATTTTTATTTCATTTTTTAAGTCAAGCTTAACCATTGGCATTTATTTTTATTGACATTTTGTTGTTAATTCTTATAAAAAAATGGTAAGCATTTAAAGATCATTTATACTTTTGTAAGATATACTCTAAATGATTAATAGCTTTTCAGTAAGTAATGATTTGTAAAAGTAGTTATAAAACTACTGACCAAAAGGGTATTCCCTCGGCTGTTTTGATGTTTAATTGCTTCCAGCTTGCCGATGGACAGTAGATTAACAGTTTGTTTGAAAAGCTGGGTTTCTGTGGTCTTAAATTATGGATGTACTCATTTCGGGTGGCAATTGGCAATTGGTGGACAGCCCAAAATAAGCTCGTTCTTGGGCCTGATTGTCCCCCTTTTTGGTCATTTTTGCGGCTGACATCTGGAACTCGGCTTATTTGTCAGTGGCCACACAACTATGGGCACGTGAAATTATACTCGTTTATGGCCCCCGCGGAAAAGCAGTTGACACTGGGGTTAGAGATGGCCAGTCTCGTTTACCGTTTGAGATCAAGGATGCATCTAATAATCTGTGGCACAATAAGCCAAGGCAGTGCGATTTGGATGTGGAAAATAAACTAGCCAATGGCAATGAAATGACAGCTGTAAAGGTGAGTATGCGAGCGTAATTTAACGTTAACAATTAATGGCAAACGCCGGATGGAAATGAATTTTTCACAAAGCCCGACTAATTAACACAGCGTTTGCCCAAGTCAATCGTCAAGACATTTAGTTTCAATATTAGCGGAACAATTAAGCGGGGAATCTTCGCCAGAACCACTAATTAATCGTTCTCGGCGGCTGGTGACCTCAATGCCGTTTGTTCTCACTCCGGTGCTCTGCAGCCGAATTTAATATTTAGCCAAGCGCAGATCGTAAACAAAAGAATGCCGGGGCACAGTGCAAATAAACCTCGAAACGGAAAATTAAAAACAAACCGAAAACAACCACCATAATGTACACTTCTGTTTATGAATTCATATTTTGTGCATTCTGCCCGCGGTCTGTGTCTGTTGTTCTGCCCTTAAAATGTGTGTCACCATTTGTCGTAATTGTTTAACCCAAATATTTGCCAAAGTGTCAATTACCATGACATATGAAAGTTAAGCCAGTAGGAAATTTAAGTCTTTAGCATGCAAGCCAGATCCGGAAGCATAGGAAAGAATTTAAGATGGGAAGATTTACAGTAAGCGAAGCTGTTGAAAGGCAGAACCTGTAGTGGATTTTCTGAGGCAGACACAAATCAAGGACAACCGCAGGTTTTCGCTGTGCTGACGTCAATAAGTTCTTCATTTCGAATAACACGACATTCGAGGTGATAAGTTTATTAAAATGTAAACAATAAAAAAACTGCAGAATATAAGCTTATTTAATAAGCGTTAATTTTTTGTTTACCATAATAAAGCCAAAATGTTTTATTAAACTTTTTGCAATTAGCTTTAAATTCACAAATAAAATTTTAATTTTTAATAAAACTTAAATTAAAAAAAATCTCTTTAAACTTTCACAAAACATAATAATTACATTTTGTAGCTTTAGTATTGCGAACACCAGTTCAGATAAGATATTAAATTTGGTTACAATTAATTTTTATATGACGACTAAACTTATACTATAAATTAGACGTTACTATGATCGTTAATGAAAATCGAAGTATACTTTTGAGATAAATTAATAAAATAACATGTTTACAGAAATCGGGTAAGGTTAACATAAAATCATACTAATACTTGGTGTAAAATTAATGTATTTGCAATCTTGATCCAGCCAAGCTAATCTGCGTAAATGTTACTTCTCGTTCCTGCCTTCGTCTTTGCCTTTCTCGACTTTTTTGAAACATCTTGAAGATCAAAAATATTACTGATCCAAAAACGATTCCAAAGCGTAGACCAAAGGGGAGAAGCCAATCTAATCTGTAGTATCGCATCAGGGAAATCTCTTCCGTCTTGAGGCGCATGTGTGTGGCATCCTTATTTCTAAGGACGTACTCCGTCCACCAGACAGCCGTATCCAATGGACTCATGGGTCGGTCCCTGAAGGTGTGCGACATTTTCCTAGCGTTCATATCATATTCAGGATTTTGTAGTATCTCTTCGATAGTATTGGTAAGGATTTCCGTGTTCAATGCATTCGAGTCCAAGATCTCGGCCATACCAGCTTGCCTTACATACTGCAAATTAATATATTGGTCAAAGAACAGCGGCAGTCCCAGCATCGGAACTCCGCTGTCAACCGCCTCCATTACACTCAGAAGTCCGCCGTTTGTGATGAACAGAACGACTTTGGGATGATTCAAAATGTGGCGCTGTGGTGCTTTTTCAATGACATATATGTTGTCCGATTTGTTGGGCATGTTAAAGAACTCGTTTTTCCAAATCACCCGCTGCTTAAGTTTGGCAAATGACTGCATCAGCGGTTGCTGCATATTTTCCGGTAAAAACTGCACCATTATATCAAGTCCCATGGAGAAATAGATGACTCCGTGCAGCGCCTCGTCCATAAATCTCTGCAAATCATCCTCGCATGGTTCCGGGGGTTCGCTGAGATGCAGACCTCCCACCTCAATGATGTTGGGTACATTAGCTCGCACCCTGCCCATACTGAAGTGGTTGTTCACTAAGATAACCGAGTACCTGTGCCGCAGCTCATAAAATTTTTGCTCCGAATAGCCGAAGAATTTTTTGAAGATACTGAGTTGAGCTGGCCTTATTATCAAACGTTCCAGCAACATCTCCTCAGTGATATGGATCCAGTTGTAAAGCCGACTTACCAACGTGTGGTCTCTAGAGTAACCTACGTGTGAGATCGGTTCGTAGATGTTTGGTGCCGGATTTCCCGCCAATTCCTCAGTGTTCCAGCTGACAATTCCACCGGACAATCCCATCAGGCTGGCATTATAGTACTCCACCAGGCCGTAAAGTGCTTCCAAACCGGACGGTTCCATCATGACCAGGTCAAAATGCTCCCTCTTGTCCTGTAGCATCTTCTGGACGGCATCGTCTCTCAGGATATCTTGGGACATGTTGAAGAGCATTGTCACAGCCAGTACACTCTCCATCCACTTATTACCAAAGTAGTCCAAAAGTTGGTCGGATTCGACCATTTCTAAAAGGAAAGACCGATAAGTAACACTATTTGATTAAAATTGTAAAATGTGTATACCCTTGCAGAGGGTATTATAACTGAATGTTGTTTATTATAACGTTGTTCTATTTGTTGACTCATTTTCATGTTAGGTCTTTCCGAAAGTTCACTATAAGCTAAAGTGACTTACCCTGTACGCGTTTGTTTAGCTTAGCAATGCGTATATGTCGAACTCCATCGATGTCGGGTGGCATTAATTCTGGTGTAATTAACGTCACATTGTGTCCCCGTTTGACTAGGGCCTTAACCAACGGCTGCAGCACCAAAAAGTGCGAGCTTAAATGGTAAGAAAATATGCCTAGGATGTGGGCAGCCTGTGCAGTATCCTGGTGAAGATCCTGTTGCAGCAGCAGGACCAAGCTAAGGGCTATCCAATGAAATCCGAGGCGCATTGTCACGATTTCAGTCCGTTCATGTCGGAGCTCGGTCTGCAACTGCACACAATCTAATCAGAAATGTATTTTTCTGATTGGGAAAACAATAAATTTATTGATAACTCAAAGAAAGAGAGCGCATATGACTCTGCAAACATTTAATTCTTCCGTTAATATTGGGTTAAAATTAATTATAATGCTGGCTAAAAATAATGACAAACTTTATTGTTAAAATTAAAAAACGTTTAGTTTTCATCAGTAAAAAAAAAAAGGTGTATGTGTCTGATAACCAGTTGAGGAGTTGCAGTTTACCTTTGGTTAAAGAGTACACGTGCATGACAACTTTTACAAGAGTCATAAATAACAAACAAATTCTATCGGCAAGATTTTATACTGATAGCTTTTACACTGCCCGAATAAACTGTAACCGATTTTGATAAATCCTAAGGCTTTGGTGCAAAAATTAGATAAAACTATTATATCAGACAAAACCAGCAAGGGTATAAAAAGTATCTGCATTAAATAATTTTAAGATTTTAAGATTGAAATTGTAATTTATGTGAGGCTAAAAACAATTTTCGGTAACTATCATTAAACTTGAATTTATGAGTTTTTTTATTCAAAATTTAAACATTTATAATATATTAATTTTTATAAAAAATAGTTAAATTCTACTTATCTTATTTTAAAAAAATTTGACATACATTGTACATACTTAATTAACTAATTGGTCTAGAAAAGATTGCTTAAATCGACTGACAGGATTTCTCTTGATCAAACTCCATCCCAGAAAAAGCACCGATCCAGCGATCACTCCCAAACGAAAACCAAAAGTGAGGATGCTGTCAATTCTATAGTACTGCAAAATTGGAATTTCCTCAGCATTGAGTCGAATGTGGGTTATATCCCGGTTTCGCAATGCATACTCCGTCCACCAAACCGCCGTATCCAAAGGACTCAAAGGTCGATCCCGAAAAGTGTTCGACATGTCCTTGGCCCTCAGCGCGTATTTAGAGTTTTCAATAACTAGCCGAATATTTGAAGTCAGTGTATCTGCGTTCAGGGTGTTGATGTCCAAAACCTTGGCTATGCCCGCTGCTTGCGCCCATCGTAAATTTCCAAACTGGTCAAAGAAGATCGGCAGTCCCAGCATCGGAACTCCACTGGAAACCGCCTCCATCACACTTAGCAGTCCTCCGTTTGTAATGAAAAGGCGGACATTGGGATGCGCCAAAACGTGCCGTTGGGGTGCTTTTTCAATCACATATATGTGGTCCGATTTATTAGACATATTTAGGTACTCAGTCTTCCAAACAATTCGCTGCTTCAACTTTGCAAAGGACTTTATAAGAGTTTGCTGAATGTTTTCCGGAAGAAACTTTACCATGATGTCCAGGCCCATTGAAAAATAGATTACTCCGTGTTCCGCCTCGTCCATAAATCTCTGCAGATTCTCATCACTTGGTTCCGGGGGCTCGCTGAGATGCAGACCTCCCACTTCGATAAGATTGGGCACATTGGAACGCACTTTGCCCATACTAAAGTGGTTGTTCACTAAGATCACAGAGAATCTGTTCCGCAGGTCATAGAATTTTTGATCCGAATAGCCAAAGAACTTTTTAAAGAGGCGCAGCTGAGCTGGCAATACGATCAAGTTCTCCAGCAACTTCTCCTCTATGATATGGATCCAGTTGTAAAACCTGCTCGTTAAGGAGTGGTCCCTGGAGTAGCCCAAATGTGAGATGGGTTCGTATATGCTCGGCGCCGGATTCCCAGCCAATTCTTCGGTGAACCAGTTTACTCCTAAGCTATTTAGGCCCACAAGAGTGGCGTTGTAGTGTTCCACAAGTCCGTAAAGCGCATCCAGGTTGCTCGCCTCAATCATAATAAGATCAAACTTTTCGCTTTGGTCCTGCAGCATCCTTTGAACGGCATCGTCACTCAGGATATCTTGGGACATGTGGAAATACATTGTGGCAGCCAGAGTGCCCTCCGTCCATTTGTTTATCAAGAAGTCCAAAATTCGGTCCGATTCAATTATTTCTGCAGGCAAATAAAAAAAATTTTAAAATGCAATATTAGCTATTATAATTTTTCTATTGTTTCAAGGTGACTTACCCTGCATGTGTTCGTTAAGCTTGGGAATTCGTATATGCCGGGCTCCCTTGAGGTCGGTTAGCATGCCCTCTGGTGTGATGAGGGTCACATTATGTCCTCGATTTAGAAGCGCCTGAATTAACGGCCGAACTACCAGAAAGGGCGAGGGGCAGTGAAATGGAAATATGCCCAGGATGTTGGCCGCCTGTGCCAGATCACGGCTAAGATTCAGGTGCAAAAAGAGACACACGACCAGAACTGGCCAAACAGAAGTGAAGCGCATTTTCACGCTGTTAGTCCGTCCATGTCGGAGCACTATCCACAACTGGCCACAATCTAATCTAAAGTGTCGCCGAACCTTTAAAAGTTTATTTCGATTTGCGAGCAGAGAGTGGGTTGATAATTGAATGTACTCATAGTTTTTCAGATTAAAATAGCGCTCATTGGTTTGTGAAAACTCAATTGATAAAATATTTTAGTCGATCGTTATCGCAAGCTAAGCATGTTTTTGACCAATATTTATACATTTTTATGAGCAGATTAATGCAATCAATTCCTGGAAACGTATCCGCCTTTTACGCTATTAAAAATAAATTGAAGCCCAATAATAATATCGATTCAACGATAATTCCAAAGCGCAGGGAAAAATTTGTAATTTGATCTAGCTAACACCAACCTTTAATTGAAATAAAAATTAAGTTCTTTTATATTATAAATTGTTGAGAGTTTTAATACATTGACATTGAATGCGTTTGTTTAGCCAGGAAAATCGAAATCCTATTTTCATGATTATTGCAATCTAATCTTAATCATCATCAGAAATGGCATGTAAGTTTACTTTTATCATAAGTAATATCAATAAAATTTTAATTTATCTTTTTAGTTTTGGGATGGAAAGTAAAAGCTCTTTGATTGCTTGCTCGTTATACCGCAATTTTTGTTAAAGGAAGATAATGAATATACGAGCAAAAATGTCTGTAATCAAATCTTATATAATCTTAATAAATAAAAGGAGACCTAAAAATAGTTTACCTGAAAATGTCGAGCCTAAAGAAATCTAAGAGTCTGATTCATATGTATTCATCGGCATTTGTATCTGCATGAACGTCCTTTGCCTTTCCCAAAGTCTTCTCTGTCTGCTCCGATTTTTCTGGTACAATCTCCAGGCCAGAAATATAACCGATCCAAAAATGAATCCAAAACGAGTTGCAAAGGTGATCACGCTGTCTAGTCTGTAATACCGAATCAGTGGAATTTCCTCCGCATTAAGTCGCATGTGAGTCACATCCCGATTTCGCAAGGCGTACTCCGTCCACCAAATGGCAGTTTCCAAAGGACTCATCGGTCGATCCTTAAAGGACTTTGACATTTCTTTTGCTTTTTTGGCATAGCTTGGGTTTTCGACCATTTTTGTAATGGCTGAGGCTAGGGCATCTGCATCCAAAGCATTCGTGTCGAGAACTTCAGCCATTCCTGCTAACTGCACTCGATGTAAATTGTTAAACTGGTCGAAGAACACCGGTAGTCCCAGCATTGGAACTCCACTATCAATTCCCTCCATTACGCTCTGTAGTCCACCGTGGCTTATGAACAATCGTACATTGGGATGGGCCAGCAACTGGCGCTGAGGTGCTTTCTTAATCACATATATGTTATCCGGCTTGTTGGGTAGCATGGAGAGCTCATTCTTCCAGATTACCCTTTGTTTTAGTTGCGCAAAGGTCTGCAGCAATTTATTCTCCATATTATCCGGCAGATATTTTACAAGGATGTCCAGACCCATTGAGAAATAGATGACGCCGTGCTCCGCTTCGTCCATAAATCGGAGTAGCTCCTCACTACACGGTTCCGAAGGTTCGCTGAGATGCAGTCCTCCCACCTCGATGATATTGGGTACATTAGATCGCACTCTTCCCATACTGAAGTGGCTGTTTATCAGGATCACCGAGAATCTGGACCGCAGCTCACTTAGTTTTTCAGCCGAATAGCCAAAGAACTTCTTGGAGACCTTCGCTTGGGCAGGACGAAAGACCAGGCGCTCTAGCATTTTCTCTTCGGTTATATATATCCAGTTGTTCCACCTGCTAATAAGCGAGTAATCGAGAGCGAAACCCATAGGTGAAATTGGTTCGTAAACACTGGGAGCTGGATTACCCGCCAAGTAGTCGATGTTCCAGTTTATATTCACACATGAAACTCCAACTAAGGATGCGTTGTAAAACTCGGCCAATCCGTAGAGGGCGTCCAGGTGACTGGCCTCCAGCAATATCATATCAAATCGTTCACTTTTGTCGCTCATCATCCTCCGAACTCCAGTGTCGTTTAGAATGGCATGGGAGACGTTAGAAAAGATCGTGGCAGTCAGAACTCCCTCTCGCCATTTGTTTCCCAATAATTCCAGGAACTGGTCGCTGTCGATTAGATCTGTTAACAAATTTAGTTCAATTTTTATGGTAAGTATTTCAAATGACTCACCCTGCATAAGCGTGTTTAGCATTGGCACGCGAATGTGACGTACTCCCTCGATGTCGGCCGGTAAACCCACGGGTGTGATCATGGTGACCTTGTGCCCCCGCCCAACTAGCGCCTGAACCAGTGGCCTAACCATCTGGAAGGGTGAGGGCAGGCGGTACGGGAATATGCCCAAGATGTTGGCCGCCTGTCCCAAGTCCAAAAATAGATTTGCGTGCAAAAGCAGGCCGAGCGCCAGCCAAGCACAGCCGAGGCGCATTTTCACGCTTTTGGTTCGCTCATGTCGGAGCTCTGTCCTAAACTAAACGCAATCTTATCTAAACTAGAACGAATACCCCCGAAAGTTCCAGCTGACTCGCCGGGGTAATAACCATAAAAATAGCTGATAACTCATAGATAACTGATAATTTTCTAAATCGAAATTGAAAGCTAAACGGCTTGTAGTTACTTGAGAAAATAAACTTAGTTTTGCGCCAACAGGGAAATTATATTCAAAAACATCCCTTATCAACGAGATTGTAGTTGACTCTTTCTTTTATGTGTACAATAGTGGCATCCCTTTCTCCTGGTAAGTTCATTCAATAGTCGTCCCTTTTTGTAGCAGCCCCCAATTCGCATGCGCTAAATTGGACATCTGGAGGGGTCTTCTTCTCTGTACTGTCGCCCTCTTTTTGTTTTTTTTGTAGAAATTATTTTTACGCCCTCTAAGCGGAAAAGTTTGATTTTTGTACCGGGTTGATTTTCTATAACTTTTGTATTATGGCTGGCAAACAACAACTTTTTGTCCCTATTCCATAATTCTTCAGAAGTAAAAGAAAATGAAATGATTGAAAAATACATAAAATATAAAATACAGAAAAAATAGTCCCAGAATACATAAAAAAAAATTTATTGGAAATGTTATATTGTCATATCAATGTATTTTAAAATTCAAAAAATGAATTTTTAAAGAGTATTATAACATTTTATTTCTGAAGTTTCAATCCTTTTCAGCTTGTAGTTTACATGGAACATTCTAAAAAAAATGTAATGATTGATTAAGTTAATAAGTTGAAAAAGCTTATGATTTTAATTTATATTTTTATTTAAACAATAATCTTAACACTAAACCTAATCTTCGTGTAATAAAATACACTTTTTGTACTATACTCACAGCCCACAAATGGGAACATCTTGGACCATTTTTTTGCGAGGGTAGTGAATGAATTAAAATTTATTTAAAAAGTACTTACTTCATTGACATGGTGAGATATTGGTAATATTTTCAGTACATAGTAGCCAGCTTGCCACTTGCATGACCCCGGCAAGAATGTCGGATAATTCAGCATTTAACCTTTTACTGCCCCCGCAGGCGAAGGTGTAAAATGCCATTGCTCTCCATTTGCCCGAACGCAGTCTATGGCCTCGTAAATGCAACTGTGCGTTTTATATTTTGACTATAACTCAAAGTGCATTTCAACGGTTCCTCTATTTGCATCCTGCAGCCGTGCGGGTGGTTCCGATTGGGTGGACTGGGGCGGTTGGGTGGGTTTTTGGTGAGTTTATGTGGGCGGTGGTGCCGTTCAAACATGCATGAGTTGCATGAACTGCAGCCTAGAATGATGAAGTAGTGCGACCTGGCACTGCAGCTGGGGGATGCGGCCCAATCAAGGATTCGGGGAGAGTCCCGGGCTGGCAGGCCAAATTAACTTAACACTCATAAATCAGCGTTAACGGCAACCGCAAAAAGCGTTGCATAAAAAATGGTTATGGCTCCTCTTTTCAGGACTCTTTTTTGGAGTTGTTGTCCCTTTGACGGTCGCCACGTACATGGGAAAATGGGATCAGTGTGGCAACAATGCATCGCTGCATTCCAAATAAACAGTGCTCGTAAAATGCAAGCGTTTGCATCGCTGAGTTGATGACTGCAACATTTTTCAATTGGCATATCAGGCATATCACAAATCGAGATGACAGTACTGCACATATATCAGAAGGAGATATTTTGGGGAGGATCAGGAATCATTTTTAGACGATATTTTCCTCCTGGTTTTGAAAGCCAAGTGAATCAGAGTTACCCGATGTTATCTTTAAGCCCCCTGTGCCCGATATCACTGATTCGAATCCTCGACAAATGATTTCCCATTTGTCGGACAAGCTGGGCATTTCTGATGTAACGGTCGGGCAATTTACTCCGGTTTGCACAAAATTGCTGCCGTCAATTTTGGTAATTAAATTGTAGTGCTCAATTTGCCATCTTTTTAATCGGCATCCAATCATCGTTCCAAAGTAATTTAGATGGATTCCAGTTAGCGTTTTTGCCCCCCAAATCAGCGTGGCATACGTAATTGAGTGCGGCAGAAGAAGTGTGTGCAAAAACGGCTTCAATTGCAGCCGAATGCATAATAAATAAGAGCAGTGACAGGCATGTAAACGCTTCCGACGGAAATGTAAATGATATCAATGCGGCTACTCGAGCTGGCAATATTTATGCACTTTTGATTCGGGGCCGCGGAGCGCTGAAAAGAAACGATGCGCACTAAATCACAATTTGCCGCCAACTGGCGATGACAAAAGCCGGGTGGTCGACATTCCTTGTCCTTGGGAAAACAGACCGCAGCAGCAGCTGGTCGTCTGATTTTTTAAGGACCTCTCACTTGAGGTCTATGCCTTTTTTTCTCCTTTGTTGCCTTGAGCAATATCGGATTTAATTTATGCGAGCAGACAGGAAGCGGAAACGAAAGCGGAAGCTGTCTAATTATTCAACGGCAGTTGGTTAATAGGGCGTCTTGGCCGTCCGCCATCCTTCTTCCTGACTTGTTGGCGCATTTAGCGTGTCCTTATCGACTGATCCTTTGGCCGACTGCAGCGTGACTCGGCAGCTTTTAATTATCTTAATGGAGCTATGCGGCGTATGCGCAATATTGACTGTTAGCGGTGTGCAAATGCCTGCTGTTCTCGCACGCAAGGAAATAAAGGAGCCGGAGCTCCGTGGAATAAGGGCGGGCTGTCACATTGCATCAGGCGCAAAACAATAAAACGCTCGCCAACCCCGGCCGGCAGGTGTCGCTGCCGTGATAATGTCAACAGCGGAAACAATAAAAGCCGCAGTTGTCTTTCGACTTGGCTGCGGGCTCTGCTCTGCGCGGCAAGAAGACATCTGGAGGATGTGCTGGATGGGCAGGAGGAGTGCCTTCTGCAGATGAAGATAGCGGCTGACGGGGCCGGAAAGGTGGGGCGCGTTGAATGTGTCGTTTTTCTTTTCCGGCTCCTTTTCCACGGAATATGACACAGAGAAAAAACAACACAGCACTATCAGTTTCCCCTGTTTACTTCTGTTATTAAAAAACCTTTTGTATTTTAATATAATGTTGTAATCATGGCAATATTAAGTTTTCTTTTGTGTGCTTTGTATAACAGCATTCAGTTGTGCCAAAAATATCTGGTAAAAAATTTCTTTGTGAAACGGCGACTTGCATATGAAAAATACAAAGCTGCTTTTAAAAATAATTCAAACCTTAAAATGTTTATTTTTCGACAAAAAAGAGATACACTCCTTTATCAAAAATGCAACAATAGACGATACCATTATTTTATTGCTTACACTATAGAGTACAAAAGTCCTATGAAACAACTAATTTCAAATCAAATAGATAAATGCGTTACAAGCTTGCAAGCCCGTGGTGTCAATAAAACCTGGTTTTTAACTAAAAGGGAGATCTGTATGATTGATTAATTTTATAGAATTTTTCTCTGTGGAATTAGCGGCTTTAAAAGCCAACTGTTAGCTTCGTAATCCTATTAGGACATTGCCACTTTTGATGGCCCCACCTATAGTTTCAGCCAATGTTTGCCATAGCCTTTCATTTCCGTTCGGGCCCAAAAGTTGTCAAAGGGTTCGGCAGCCTAAGCGGAAAGTTGGCCAAAAAGAAGCCGGCTTGGCCCACATAAATTGCCAGCTGCTGGTGGCAGCCACTTCGCACGCCGCTGACAAGCGTCAGACTCAATAAATTACGTTTCACTGGCGGGCTGTCTGTCCGTGGGTTTGTCTGCGTGTTGGCCTGGTCCTGGGGCTTCATAAATTGATGCTGGCACTGGGGCTTGGAGCTGGGAGCTGGCAGCTCGGACCACGGCCTTGAACCGCTTTCCAGGGGGCAGCAGTAGTGGCCACCACTCCAGGGGTTTTGCCAGCAGCTGCTCTCCGCTCGAGTGTGGCCATTGCAACTTTAGTTTCGGCTTCAGATTGTGTGTTTGCCTTTGCGTTTTGTTGTGCTGTGCGGCTGGCCGCAAAGTTCCGCTGCCACTTTCCACTCGACCCGAGAAATTAAAATTTATATGTCAAGCACGGCACGGCTGAAAGTTCTCCACGAACTTTGTGGCAGGCAACTTTTGTGCCACATTGAGCGCAATAATGCTAACAATAACAATATTATGCCACCCCCGCTCGAGGATAATGCAAACTAATGCCGAGGTCGCAGGATGAGCTGGCCGCCCCAGTGGCTCGTTCGGTTGCCATTATTGTTATTGGACTGGCGAAATGCGAACGCAAATGCAAGTGCAATTCTCAATGGCCTTAAAGTGTCAGCTGCGGTGCTGCTCTGTGTACCGGTTTCTGGCCTGCAAGGACTCTAATTGCCGGCTACAAATTCCAATTAGCCGCCCCAAATCTCTGGCGTGCGAATCGGATGCAATGCAGCCGGCATTCAGTCCATTCGCCTGGTCGACTTTTATGAGCATAAGCGGGGCCAATAAAGCGCTCAACCTCATGCGATTATCGCCCACGCTCCCCTAGCCGGAAAGCCGACGAAAACAGGAATATTGGCCAAAACAGTCAGAACAGTCAAAACAGCCAACACAGCCAACACAGCCAGAGCTGCACTTGCAGCTTTCCTGCTTTTTCGACGGGTCCTTGCCAGCTTTTAAGCGTTCAAATATTTATAAAGCGAAAAATGTTATGTTGACGCGCTGGCGGCCACTTTGAGTTTTTGGGGGTCAGGACCTGAGGCGGAGCTGACTAAATGGAGTTCAAGTTAAGTGCTGAGAATTAAATAAAACGCAGACCAAAGCGGGCCATAAACAAAAGTCTACACCATTTTCAAACCAGTTAACCTGGGGTCATAACTACTGAGTAAGATTTTCAAACTTTTTTTTGCGGGATTTAGGCGTTTAAAAGTATTTTAAAAAGGTTTTTTTGATCTAACTTAGCGGAAATACGTCACACCGCCAAATGAATGACTATTTTAACCAGGTAAGAGCCTAAACAATCGATTTCAGATGAATGATTTTTAATGAATTCTTTTAT